TTTATATATACTCAATGGACTACTGCTCTGCTGTTAAAAAAAAGAAGAAATAGTGCCCTTTGGGACAAAACAGATAGAATTTGAGGTGATTATGCTAAGTGAAATAAGCAAGGAAATGAAAGATAATTGCCGGATGGTTTTGCTCATATGTGGAATATAAATAGCTAAAGCAAACAAACTGGTAAAAATAATAAAGCATACTTCTAGACTCGGTGAAAATTTTACCGGAAAGAAAGAGGGTGAGTGGAATAAATGGAGTTTGAGTTCTTTCTGTAACTTTAGGTTGGGATGCCCCCCCCCAATTCTACACAAAGAGGTGTGAAGCTTTCCTCCCTGAAATTCTTTGATATTTTAAGCTAGTGAAAAATCAGTAGAGAGGCAGAACAATCACCAGATTCCTAGGACATATCAGACCAGAATCCTGAGGTGGCTTGTGGGCTTCAGAATTTTCTAGATATTGCCATATGATTCCAAAAGACAGGCAAGTTTGAGAAACACTTCCTAGAAAGGCTTCCTCACTGATCTTAGCCAATTGTGACCACCACCATCAAGTTCCCCTGCAGCCCACCAGGTACACATTTTCTCTGCAGGAGTCAGAGTCTGGCAGACGAATGGAATCCTGTTGGCCAGTTAGCAGCTGTCCCTGCAGTGAGGGCTGAGTACTGAGCAGGGTATCCTCCCAATTGCTACAATTTCAACTATCTGGCTCACACTCAGCATGATGACACAGTGAGCCAATCATTTAAAAAAGCATCACAGGCTGGGGCTCTGGCTCAGCAGTAAAGTGCATGCTTTGCATGCATGAGTGCCTGAGTTTGATTCCCAACACCCCAGAAATAATAAAAAGTACAATAAAAAGCATCTGGGCTCTTGTGCAAATGGCAGGCACAGCCTAAAGACTGTTTCCTATAAGACCCTCACTCAAGTCCACCGCCCTCGCTGCTCTACGTTTGAATGCCTCTGCCAGTCTCTGTTCTCCATGGCCATGTATCTATAATGTTCTTTCTTTAAAGAGCCTTTAAGTGGTAAGGAAAACAAAGGGACTGGGGAGAAAGTTCAAAGGCCTGAAGCACATGCCCAGGACAGACAAGGCCCAAGTTCAATCCCTAGTACAGCATGACTCTCACCTTCCAGTACTACCAGCTACAATCTGGTTTGGGGTGGGGAGTCCCTAGTGCTTCTAGGCCTGAGCATTGTCAGACCTAGAAATCACCAGGATTTACCTCTGAATTCCCAAGCACTGCTAAGGAAACAACCCACTCCTGGAGGGGAAGAGGGAGGAGGGGAGTGAAGTTCCATCTCTTCTCTGAGGCTACCCTGATCTCTGTAGGTATCAGCAAGACCTGGGGGCCAAAGCACGATCTCTGGGGTTAAACAGACTGTGAGTTCAAGCTCCAGTTCTGTTTAAAAACTGTAAAAATGTGGCCGTCACTTAGCTTCTCGTCTGCAGAGAATGAGTTTGACCACCCTTAGATAAATGGATACAAGCTATCTGGATGTGTTTGTTCCTGGATGCTAGAAATGAAACAGAACTGAGCCATATTACTTTAATAGACTGTTCTGTTCCTCCCTGAACATTCATTTTGGTCAAGTCATTTCCCCCCCATCGTTGGCCCTCAATTTTTTTCCTACTGAACATGATGGAGCCAAGGAGATGCTCTGGATGGCCCTTTTCCAGTTCTAGAGGAACTTAATGTCTTTTCCTCTCACTCAGACATTTATCTGCTATAGGCAGTGATTTATCTTTTTTCTCTATACAACTTGTCTTCCCAACCAGATTAGAAGAACCCAGAGAGTATTAAATGTGCCTTAATGTCTGTGTAACTCCGGAGCCCAGAACAGTGCCCTAAACTTAGGACATTTATCACATTAGGCTTTCATCCCTTGAGCATTTGCTCATTTGCTCATTCTGGCCTTGTCAGAGCCTCATCAAAGGAGAAGCCATGTTGAGCCTATGCAGAGCAGCCTGATACGCCAGTTTCGGGGATCTCCTAAGTGATAGCTACTTGTAAAATTCTCAAGATGTGTCAATGGCCAGCAAGAACCTACAGTTTCCCAGAGAGTTGTAGATTAAACTGCCAAAAGAATCACCAGGTGATTTAGACAATGTTTTCTCCAAATGTCATCCATGTGGAATGATGTACAAAGAAGTCTGCTTGATGTCCCCTTGTCATGGTCAAAGCAAACCATTAGGAGTCACATCCTGCTTTGGTGAACAATGAGTTTTCCAATCACTCTACCTCAGTCTTTCCTAGATTCTCCAAGTCAGGAGTTACACCCAGCAATCTCTGCACAGTAATTGCATCTTTCCCTAAGTAATGCCAGAGACAATGTGTTTTTTATTTCTTCTTAAATGAGAATTTGCCAGCGGGCCTGTATTTTTTCTCGCCTAATAACAAGTGACAGCAAAGTGTGAAATTAGCTATAACAAGCACTGGGAACTGAATTTTTTGTAAGTTCACAAACAAGTAGAGAAATTGGTTGCTGGCTCTCAAGATTCAGTGGCAACTAGCAGTCTTCTGGACCTTGAACAAACTAGCAAGCTCTAGGTTGTCTCCTTCTCCAGACACCCAGGGGTTGGGAGTAGGAAGCTGGCCATTCTACAGTTACTGGTAGGTTTGAGCAATGCTGACAGTGGCCCATTTGACCCAAGTAACCCAGAAGATAAAGGCAATGCAGTCAGATGAAATGGAACTTCTTGAGATGAGATTTCAAACATTGCCCTCCAATAATAATCAGTATGTGTGATTTCAACCTTTGATACAAAGACTCTTTCTTCTATCAGAGGGACAAATGAAATCAAGGATGTCTTAGCCCAGGGCTTCTTAATATTATTGTAGTTGCAACTCCTTTTTCCAAGTAAATGCAACAAGGGTGAGTACTGCCAGAAATGCCTTGGATTCAGGACACGGTATATTGGGAATTGATTTTTTTTAGCAACACATTCATAAACCTTTTACTATAATTCATGTTTAATAATCACCCCCCACACACACTGAGTTATGCCAAACCACATGGGGTTGTGAGAACCTGTTTAAGCACTGAGGTATTAGAGAACTTCACATTCTTCCTCTCTACCCCAGCTGACTGCTGTATGGCTGCAGGTGAGGGCTGCCTGGCAGTGGTTGACCCCATAGTCTAAGTCCCACATAACCTCAGACTATCACCCACACAGAATGATGCCAGAGGTTCCCACAAGAGTTACTGCAGCATGGTTTTCCCTTTGTTTCCTATTCAGTTAAAGGGGACAATGTCACCATCACAGGACTATGGAGAAACTGAACTCGGACCAGTATGCGAATTGGGCTATTTTTGTGCCCTCATCTCCATGTTCAATCCCAATGTCCCTACCTTCAAGGCTGAGAGCTGGAGCCCAGTACGGGGAGAATCCACAACCTGTCAGAGATTCAGGCTCTTCTGATAATGAAGCCTCATCTTCCTGGAAATTTTCTCTAGCCTATTCACAATTTGGGGGCTCAATCAGACGAGATAGTAAAATGGCTAAGGAACATGCCTACCATGTGGTTGACCCCAGTTTGATCCTGGGCACCATATATGGTCCCCTGAGTACTGTCAGGATTCAGGAATAGCCCCTAAGCACTCCTGGTGTGTCCCAAGCCACCCCAAAAAGATTTGAGGGTCTCTTTTCTGACGCCTCATGTTTCTCAACTTCAGATTCACCCTTTAAGATGCTGCTTTATCATCAAACCCTAAAAACCATATTTAGACTTGGCCAGCAGGATCCTTGCTGGGGTATGGCCATGGAGCAGGTACAAGAGAAGCTGCAGGAGGAAGATGCTGCATCTTCCAGCTGGCTTCCAGCAGGTGACCTAGAGGCTGCCTCTGTCGGCCACCATCACCCTATCTTGCTCCTCTCCCTTATAGGCATAGTCTGAACTAGAGAGAGACGAGCTGGGTCCAGATTTGTGTTTCTCTTCACCATTCTAGAACATGCTTCATCCTGCTTCCTCAGAAACACCAGCTCCAGCTGCAGGGTGCTTCTTTCACAGAGGGGTCAATGCCACTCAGTTCACACTCAAGCACCAGCAGGGCAGAGCCCTCTCCACCTAGGAGGGCTAAGCTTCAGCCCTGAAGGGTCCCCCTTATAAGCTCGCCAACATTAACTTTCCCAACACCTTCATTTTCTACCCCCAGTCCATGATGGCGTCTTCCTGTAGCTGCAGAGTGTGAACCCTTATTGTTCTTTGTCCTTTCAATTACCTAGTTAGCAAGAAAGTCTTTCTAGAGAATAATTCTTTTAATTCTCTTTGTTCAAAAATACCGATCTGGGTTCTTTCTCCTTCCTGGAAGCCCTGATGGCTACATCTATATACAACCCATGACTTAGAACTATCAAAGTGCATATCAAACAAACACAGGGCTGTTATCTATGATTCATCTCACTAGAGTCTTTCTTCTTTCTATTCCTAGAGCTAAAAGTAGTGTCTGGCTCAATGAACACAGGTGGATTTGTGAATAATAGAAGAAATGAAGAAATGAATGCTCCCTAAGAAAGTCACCATTCCAAGGTATGACTGTTGGGACTTCTACCTAGACCCCGCTCGGCTGGGCCAGTAGCAGGGAATGAATGCTCTAATCCAGAAATGTTCTAATGCTAAAGATTCAGAGAAGCTTTGCTGTCATGTCCCTGTTAGCTCATGAGAAAGCCACTAGATAAAAGGATGAGCCCCGGAATTTGGGGATCAAATACTAGCTCTGCAACTTAATCCTTGTAAGACTTTGAGTAAGCAACTTAACTTCTTTGACCTGTATTATACATGGGTATGTAACAGAGGACATATTTCAGAGGATTCTTTGGTGAACTGTGTGAAGGAAAGGTGGCAAATGAGCCTATAGTAAACAGCATGGAGTTGGAGCCATATATTTGTGTCATCCCTCTCCCTCCCCCCAACCTCACCTAGCTCTTGACTGTTAGTACCTAAAGTATTCGCGAGAATCAAGAAGGTCCCATTTTCCAAATATACTCAGACACGGGAAGATTATGGGCATTCTTTCCCACTATCATCTTCATTGCTTTCACCTTTACCATCATCCTCAGGATCCCCATCATCTTCACCAACACTATCTTCACCCTCACCATCATCACTTTTCTCACCTTTATACCACCACCACTATTATCATCAAGTGAGAACAGAACCAAAGCAAAGTTAATTGTTTTGCACCTTTTCCTTTTGCTACATTTCAGATCAATATTTTCCTCTGCATTTACAGATAAGAAAAACTTCAGAGCTAGTCATTCTCAGTGCTGTAAACTGAATCCAGGTCCAGCTAGCTCCAAGACCTCTGTTCTGCCCCTATACTTCCTTGTGGACATCTCAAACACATTCTCTATGTGTTGTTTTTGTGTTAATGATGCTTGACTCATCATTCAGCCTTATTGACCTTACTTTTCCTGCTCATTATCCATGGTACCAGCATCTCAGGGGGTCAAGATGTATTGCCCTCTCGGATCTGACCCTGTATAGACACGCTGACACTGGCAGGTATAGTATGAGGATTTGAATGTACCTTCCTGAAAGATCATCTCTCCCATTACTGCCTATTCAGGTGAATATCTGGAGCATAATCCTTTGTGGGGAACTCTGTTTAGCACATTTCCTCTCATTCTCAGCCCTGATGCCAATTGGTTAGAGTTAGGGTTGGGGGCTATATGGGATGCTGGGAATTGAATCTGGGTCAGCCACATGCAAGATAAGTGTACTACCTGTTGTACTATCACTATGACCCCCACCCCTAGAGTTTTTAAAAAATATTTAACAAGACATGGGCTGGGGAGATAACATGTTAAAAGCTCTTAGTTTGATCCCCTGTACTGTATCACCCCCGACCCTGTGCATGGATCTATAAAAATAAAGTATAGCAGGCTACATGTAGGTTATAACCCCAACTCTAATCCTAACAGGAAAAGAGAAAGGATGGAGAACTGAAAACTATGTAGTCATGTTGTCACCATATCTGGAGCCACCTCCCCAGGAAGATTATAAGCTCTCTCGGGACAGAGAAACAGATTTTATTTTCCAGTTACTCTACCACCAACCTTTCTATTGGTGAGAAACAAGGCGCATGTGTCTAGTCATTAGACAATGACTAGAAAAATTTCCCAAAGCAGGGGTATGTGTGGGGAAGGTAGGGATATGGATTGTTCTACCACTGAAATGCTCAGCAGGTCTTACTCCTTTTCTCTTTCTCCCTGGGCTTCAGTCCTTATCCCCTGAAACCCAAGGATGTGAGCTGTGGAGGAGGGAGGATGCTTAACTGTGCATCTGAAAGACCTGGTCTTTACTATGCTCTTACACAAGATCCATGATCTCTCCTGGGCTTCGTTGCTGCATCTGCAGCAACAGTCATCTGGGCCTAGACCTTGGGTAGGGCACTTGCCTTGCATGGGTCTGGCTCAGTTTTGGTCCCCTGCACACCATAGGATTTTCCAAACCCGCCAAGAGTGATCCCTGAGTAAGCTCTGAACACTTCTGGGTACACTCTCCCCCCTCCCAATAGAGAATAACACTTCCATTTATGAGGTTGACTAAATGATGGGCCTTACCACAGGAGTGGGCTTTCCATCCCTTTCTGGACAAGAGAATTAGATGCAGTGGTTTCCTGAGGGCCCTTGTAGGCTCTTCTGATCACTGGTCCAGCCTCTCAGTCCCTGTGGCACATGTCAGCAAGGATGCCTTCAGTCAGTCCTAAGCATAGCAACATGCCAGCGGAAGGAGTGTAGGAAAGTGGGACTTCCCACATCATTTCACGTATCTCTCCGCCAAGAAAAAGTTGTCTTGTACTGGACGATGTTGGGGACCATAGGAGCATGCAATAACCACACTTATATAGGCAGCTGATGAACTAGACACAAAGCTACATTTCTGGGAGTGGGAGAGTATGACCACAGTTCCTTTGCACCTCACCCAGGATGTAATGCCTCCCTCACCTAAGAGATTCATTTGGGGGCCTAAGGCTCTATTATTTATTTTTATAATCAAACACTAAACAGGAGATTCATTCAAATCCTTTCGATTCCTTTAGATCCCTTAGCCAACAGGCCCCCTTGTCAACCTCCCTAAACTCCCAATGACTTCTTCCTTCCCACCATCACCACCTTTGTCCGGGTTCAGTCCTCCTTCACTCTCCTACTTGCCTTCTTCAGGGTTCCTAAAAGGACTCTGATTCTGTTTCAGCCTCTCCAATACAGGCTTACCAGCTCAATCATTTCTCTGTATTTTCATCATCATTAGAGTTTTCTACAAATACTTACATTTTCAAGCTTTTAAAAGTTGAGTTTAAATCTGATCTTTCCCACTCTTAGCACCCTTGATTGTTTCTCCATATCTTCAGGATGGCTCAAAGCAGCAGGCCACCCTCTGCCTCCTGCCCTCTAAAACCTCCCAAGTGTTCTTACACCATTTTCAATAAATAGCCTTGCTTCCCTTTTCACTTGCTTATGATACCTCTTGGGCCACTGTTCAGGCTAATTGTCCTGACTTAGTCTTCAAAATGTTACAAAAACATCTCTGATGGGAAGTCTTCCCTGATTATACCCCAGTGGCTCACACTTACATAGCATTAGCAGAGCATTAGCAACTGTGTCTTCTAGGGCTGTAGCATTACAAACAATATTGCCTGGAAAGGTGATGGACCTCATCCATGGTCATTTCTTGTGTGCTCCTCCATGACTGGACGGGAGCAATAGCACAGGGGGTAGGGCATTTGCCCTGCACACAGCCAACATGGCCGACCCGAGTTCGATTCCTCTGCCTCTCTTGGAGAGCCCAGCAAGCTACCGAGAGTATCTCGCTCCCACGGCAAAGCCTGGCAAGCTCCCTGTGATAAATTTAATATGCCAAACACAGTAACAACAAAGTCTCACGATGAAGACGTTACTGGACCCGCTCGAGCAAATCCATGAACAATGGGAGGACCGTGACCATGACCGTGACCTCCATGATTATATTATGAGAATTTTGAAAGAAAGGTGTTTTCTCTTGATCATCATTATGTCATGGGGGCCCTTCAAACGTGGCCCCTCAAACTTGGCATTCCACATGGACAAGCCCCGTGTTATCCACCCAAATATACTGGCTCTGCTCTCCTGGAGCTTATAGTCAAGTAGGAAAAACTCACTAAAGAATGAATAAGCCTGCAAGTAATTAAGAAATCTACATCGGAAAACATATTATGAGGGATGCAAATGGAGCTGTGATAATTAGTAGAAAGGGATTACTTTGGATTCCCCGAAGAGGTCTCTTTGTGGAGCTAGCATTTAAGCTGAAATCTTAAGGATTTGACAGAGCCGCCCTGCGGAAGAGCTGGGGAGAGCTTTTCAGAGCAAGATTGAGCACAATGCAAAGGTTCAGGATGGAAAGCACCCAGCGTGAGTGAGATGCTGGTGAAAGAGGACTGAGTGCAGTAGAGAGGAGTTGAACGCAGAAAGGTGGGGAGGGATGGGGGCACAGAGAATAAATTTATCAGAAGCACAACGGGAAGGTGTTGACATGTTTTAGCTGGGAAGTAACATAATTGAATTTGAGTTTTGCCATGAATACTCTGACCTTTGGGCTCCTCGCCTGAAAAATGGAGCTAATAGCACCCATTTGTGGGGGAAGCCCATCTTAAGACATTAACCTCTAAGCCAAGACCAGCAAACTAAAAGACAATGCAATGAAAACAGAGGGCAAGCTAAGATGCCTTGGAATATAATAGGAAATTGGCAAGAAGGGCTTTGTTTGGCTGCATTTCTTCAGTTTTTATTTTGGCAAGTGAATGAATGAATATCTTGAGATTTGCTCATGGTCTACACTGCAGGAGTGGCCTCTACGTAGACCTAACGGTTAGCAAAACTTGACTATTCGGGACTGAACTCACAGAGATAAACAGACTGCAATAGAGTGGGGGCCAAGCCAGAGACCCCTTTCTGGTTCACCCTTTCTTTGCTAGAGGGAGATGATGAGGAAAAAATCCTTGGAACTCACCTCCAGCCAGTGTCAAGCTTCAATGCTATCACTGTGGTCAAGATACCTGCCCCAGGATTGGACACATTTGGAAGTGATGGGTCAAGCACCACCCTTAACCACTTGTCTGGCCTTGGCAAAAGTGTAACCACTTGGCTGTGAGCAAGGCTAAAAAATGCAGACTGATCTGATTACACTAAAACGGTCATGCTTAAGGGCTCACAGTCATACCCCAATAGCCACATTAACTCCAACATGAAGAAACTCTGGCCCAGCGAGGGAAAGCAAGCTGTTCAGCATCCTCAGAACTCATCAGAGTTGGATGGAGCATTCAAATCTTCTATCATCCTAACCAGTGGGCACTTACCCTCCTCAAAACTGCTCTGAGGATGCACTCTGATCTCCCACTATGCCAGGCATGTCAGAGGGCCGACAAAATAAAGGTGAGACCATATAACCTAAGATCCAGGCTCTTGGGGTACAGTGGTTAGCAAGACCACCCTGTACACAGAACACCTGATTCAATCCCCAGCACCTCATAATATCCCCCAAGACTCATCACAAGTGATACCTCAGTGCAGAACCAAGAGTAAGCCCTGAACACTGCCAGATGGGCCCCCGAATCAGAGGGGAGAAAAGGGGACCTAAATTCCTATCTCACTTCTACTCTGATCAGGTTTGATGACCTTAGTTCAATCTTCAACCACCCTGTTCCACCTTTGAATTTCAGTTTCTAAATAGCAAATCCATTCATTGCTCTGTTGGCAAGAATGGGACTGGGGAAGTGTGCATGTGTGTATGTGCGTGTGTGTGTGTGTGCACGTGTGTGTATGTGTGTGTGTCATGCATGAGCATGCACGGACATTTTCTTCTGTTGGTTCTCAGAAGAATGGAGAACATTCTACCCATTTTACAGATTTCCCTAATATTTGTGTTCATACTATGAGCCAAGCAGAGTTCCTGATCTCAGGTAGCTGACACATCCAAAAGATCCAGAATAGAGAAACCAAGGATCGTAAAGTATAAATGTCTTATTCAAAAATAAGCTTGAATAGCAAATCCAAACTTGAAAAAATCTCTATTCTATGTCTTATACTCTTTCCATTGCACCAAGTAGTATGTTGTTAAGAGTAAAGATTAAAACGGGACAAGACTATCTCCAGAGA